GGCGGGCCGGGCGGCGTGCCCGGCTTCTCCTTGGCCAGGGGCTCGGCGGGCGGCAGGGGTGGGGGGGCCGGGGCCCTCCGGAACTCCCCGCTGTCACGGCCCCCAAAGGTGGCGGTGGCGGTGGGCTCCTCGGGAGGCGGGGGGAAGGGAGGCGCAGGGGTCTGGTACGGAGAGAAAGCCGACTTGAATCCAGCAGCAGGGGTGGCTTGGGCGGGCGGTGGAGTGTGGGCGAACGTGGCCGAATCCTGTGGCTGGGCCTTGAAGGGGGCGCCGCTGCTGCCCCCACCGCTGCCAACTGCCCCAAAGGGAAGGTCCGAGGAGCCCCGGAAGGTGGCCGGGGCCCCGGCCACCGCGGTGACTGCGGGAGAATTGTGGACGTAGTGATGCTCGTGCCGGCGGTTGTAGGCATCCGTGAACTTGCTCTCATGGCGCCGGGCCTTGAAGGTGGCGGTGGGGTCCTGGCTGAAGAGGTAGGAGGGTGTGGGCTGGCGGCTGGAGTAGCTGGAGTCCTGCGAGAAGGGGGTGCCCAGGCGCGGCGTGAGCGGGGTGCCTTGTCCGTAGGAGTTGGGCGTGTCCAGGCGGCAGCTAGAGTAAGCAGTGTCCTGGGAGAAGGGTGTTCCACCACTATTGGGGGTGACAGAAGAGGAGCCGGAGCCACAGCCTGCAGACAGGCCACCATCCTTGAGGCGCTGCAGATGGAGGGGAGGGAAGAGAGACGTGAGACCACTGGGGAAAAATGCAATAGAACGGGGCAGTTTTCCCTTCTCACTCTGGCTGCTGGGGAGCTCAGAGCCAAACTGCTCTTAGAAATGAAGCATGAGAAATGGAAGCAGGGGAGTCTGACAAGTGTCAGGACAGTCCTAACTCTTCTCTCATCTTAAAGTTAGCCAGTTATGCTCAGGGAACCTGGAGGGTTTTTCTTCATCTCAGAGGCAGAGAAAAGAGAAGACCCTGACATCTTGATTTAGCCAGGATTTCCTTCTTGCCTCAGGCTGTCAGAAATCACAGACCTATAATCCCAGCACTTTGGGAGGCCGAGGCGAGAGGATTGTCTGAGCCCAAGGGTTCGAGATCAGTCCAGGGAACTTGGTGAGACCGCATCTCTACAATAAATCAAAAAATTAGCCAGGTGTGTTGTGGTGGTGCATGCCTATAGTTCCAGCTACTTGAAAGGTTGAGGTGGAAGGATCACCTGAGCCCCGCAGGTCGAGGCTGCAGTGGCCGTGAGCATGCCATTGCACTTCAGCCTGGACAACAGAATGAGACTCTTAACTCAAAAAAAAAAAAAAAAAAATCACAGACCTTCCAGGGAGGGGTATGACCAAGAACTAAAAATCTTGAGAGAGGTAGGGTGGCCAAGGCCAGCATCCCAATGTTTTAGGATTAACAGTGTGACAAGGGCCAAGTCCCTTATGAACAACCCAGCTGACCAGCAAGTAAACCAAGACTTCATTCCTGAGGGTCGCCAGGTGGACATTGGGGGGGGAAGAGTTGGGTTGAGACTTCCCACGGCTAGGTGTGTGACCAGAGAGGCAGTGATTGGGGAGGAGTCAGTCTTGCTCTGGAAGGGGGACCAGGACACAGTAATGTTTTGGCATCAGCATGGAAAAGCCGGCCAGGCAGGCCCTGGGTCTGTGGGAATCCCAGCCTGAGCAGGGGAGGGCTGGAGGGAGGGGCTCTGTGAGTACTGGACACCCAGGGAACAGGACCAGCCCCAGGGGAGCCAGCCTGAAGGAGTGCGAGGAAAACCAGGCTTTTTAGGCCCTGTTCCAAACCTGTGGCGGGCGCTGCCAGACCTCACCCCTCCTAGACCTTGACTCCAAAGCTGGAGGTGGCGAGGTGGTGGTGGTGGGGGGTGCTTTCCAGAGGTGGGGCCCCATCAGGGAGCTGCGGGCAGCTGATGGTGATAAACCCACCTGCAGGGTCTCATTCACGATTGGAGAGACGGCATCCAGCTCGCCCACCGGCAGGGTCTGGGGGGTGTACCGGCCCGTGACCAACAGCTCGTAGAACCGCATGCGGGTTTCCCCTGCACGGAGGAGCGGGCAGGGGAAGAGACTCAGCAGCCAGCAGGAGGGGAAGCCACCACAGGCATTCCAGCCTGCCTGGCATCTTGCTGGGCCCTTGGGTCTGAGACCCGAGGAGGCCCTGGGACCCCGACCAAGCCCCCCACCGCCACACCTCACTCAAGATCCCCATCTGTCCAACAAAGCTGCAAAACTATGGTGTTTCTGATCCCGAGATTCAGAACGTAAGGCCTCCTGGGTTGGGACTTCCCCAGACCCAAGCCCGGGACTGCCACCCCCAACACAAAGCCCCTGCCTGTGACCTGGGCCTGGTGCCCCAGAAAGAGGCAGGTCTCTTCCACTCTTCATCTTTTCACTCAACAGCCAGGGGCTCGTAGCAGGGGGAGGGGAACACGGGGACATAGGGGTGACAGTTTGTTACATATCTGGGGCTGGTGCCCAGCAGAGTTTGCAGCACACACACTAGGAGCACAGCGCTATGAGCTCCACACACCTCAGACCAGGCTGAGGGCCCAAGTCGGGCAGGGACTGCCCGGGGCCCAACCATTGAGCCCAGTCCCGGAACCCTCCACCCTCAGCAGGGAGGCCTTTATGGCCCTGGGGTGGTTATCGATATTTATAGAGCCTCAGAGGCAGAAGCTTACATATGCAAAGAAGACACATTCCTGGAGCTACACTTTACACTGTGCTGGTCTTTTTCTTGAAATACAAACTTAGCTGGCAGTCTCTGAGGGCTTTTTGGGTTTTGTCTCTTTTTCTTTTCGCAGAAATGAAATTTTGGTGAGACCTGACTGCTCCTTAAGATGTGGGCATGTGTTGCGGGAGGGGGCTCGTCATTCGGTTTTCAGGGAGAATTCAGACGGCTGCCACCCAGGGGGGCAAACATTTTAAAGGGTCCTAACTCTTCCCACTGTGGGGGGCAACTGTAGCCTGGACAGAACCTGAGGGCCACGTTCTGAGGAGCCACAGAATCAGGCCCAGGCTCAGCAAGTGTTTGTGGGATAGCCGTGCCCACCGGGGACCAGAACCTTCCTTCACAACATCTAGCGTGGTCCGAGAAGTCCAGTCAGCACATCTTAATCATTAAAAGCATATAAGAAAGCTCTAGGTTGTTCTGTCTTGGGTTTGATGCGCCCTGGTGGCCCCTAAACCCCATGCTCACAAAACCCCAGGGAGCTGCACTTGAAACCCTCCCAGGCAGGGTTTCCCAGGGGACCAGAGGGCTAGGGACCCGAAAGTTTCTACCCACAGGGCTGGCTTGTCCTGCTTTTGCACTGTTGGGAATTTCCCTGGAGAGACAACAGGCAAACTTTGGGGGACACCCTAGCGCCCTGCAAGCCCCTTCAGCCAGGATCCTGGAGGGCTGCCCTCAGATCCAGAGCGTAGGAGGTGTGGCCTTCCCAGCCAGGCTCTCGGGCAGCCAGCTCCCTCTGAGAGAGCACCCAGCGAGATTCCGGTGCAGGGGAGGTGCTGCGGTCTCTTTAAGAGAAAGGAGGGAAGACACAGTGTCAACCCTCAAGCACCCAGAGCAGCCCGCCCCGCTCTGCCCAGCTCTGTCGGGAACATTATCAATGAAACGTCACTCCAGGCCCAAGACTGGCTCCCACTTCCAGAGGGAAGGGGCAGAAGGGGTGGGGGAGACACCCGGGATCCTGAGAGCAATGTTTTTAGTCGAGGAACCTTCTCTTCACGTATTTGAAGGCATCCTTAGTGGCTCTCCCTCAGCCCCCCACAAGTAAACAAACTCTACCTCCTCCCCTCACACAGGCGGCCCCACTGGGGACTGTCTAAACCCAGGCCACCAGGGCTCAGAGAGGGGCCCGAGGGGGGTGTCAGCGGTGGGGAAGCCTCCGGGTGGTCCCTGGGGGCACCGTGGCCGAGGACGGGCGCATTTGGTAAATTACAGCCTGTCTCCTAGCAACAGACAACACATTTAACTCCACGTGACTCTACCCTCAGGAGGGGGCACACAAATAAGGTTGTTGGGGGGATTCCAAGAAAAAGTGGATAGGGGGGTCCCAGCATGGCGGGAAGGGGTACTGGGAGGGGACAGGGTCAGCTGACAGGGCTCCTGGTGGCTCCTCCCCGTGGCCGGGCGGGCTCACCTTTGGTGTCCAGCTCCACGTGGATGATGTTGCCCATGACCGAAGTGCTGTGCAAATGCTGCACGGCCTCCTTGGCTCCCCGGACGGTGGCAAAGACCACCTTGGCGATGCCCAGGTGCTTCTTGGTCTTGGGGTTGTACAGAATCTCCACCTCCTCCACCTCCCCATACTTCTTGCACATGTCCCTCAGGAAGTTTTCGCGGATGTTATCATTCAGCTTGGCAAATGTCACCTGCTTAGGAGGCACCGGGCCCACGTAGAACTCATCGATCTGGCGGGGCCGAGGGGGAAGGGAGTTTGGAGGACATTGCAACCGAAGGGAGAACACAACACAGGTCGCTGGCCCGCCCGCTGGCCGCCCGTTGAAAATAGTAAAGGGTAAACATTTGGGGAAAAAATTTTTTTTGGGGGGGGGAATGCACGCGGGCGGGCCCGGGAAGCGGAGGATAAAATCGTTTGGAACGTGGAAGTCCTCTGGGTTCGGAAGGAAAGGGGAAAAAGAAACAGTTTCTCTTTCCTCGCCCCCCCCCATTCTGGCCTTCTCCTCACGCTGCCGGGTCAGGGGCGATCCCGTGGGCTTAGGAAGTTGTCCCCCTAGAGCCACGGGGCTGGGAAGGGGGGAGGGTCCCGGGGCCAGGCTCCTGGGCCGGCCGGAGCCAAGTGGGGACCCGGAGCTCGCAGCCGGGCGGGCGGACACTGTATCAGCGCCTTGATTACAGTTTCGCCGAGTGTTACTTTGTTTACAGCAGCCGAGAGGGTGCACCCCTCCCGGCGGCCTCCCCTTCCCCGCCAAAACTTTCCCGGCCCGGTCGGCGGGAACTCGGAATCCGGCTGGGCTCGGTCAGGTCTGGCGTTATTTTCGAACTCGGGGAGGGGGCAGGGCCGCGGGCAAGGAGGAGGGGTCCTACTTTGAATTTGGGCACCGACAGCTCCAGCTCCTTGTTTTTGGTCCAGATCCCGACGACCCGGGGATCCTCGACGATTTCCACCGGGCGGTTGCTGGACATCTGCGGGGAGAGATGGGGC